CAGCAGGAAGCAGAAAAGAAACAAAAAAAACTTACCATTATTAAGTCAGTGGAACAGCCTGAAATGTGAGTGAAGTGAAAATGACATGTGGACTTTTGTGCATAGCAGGACAGGTCTGTTGTCCAGGGTGGGATCACACATGGCTCTCATAGAACACCTGACAGGGTGGAGCTTGGTTCACTGTCGTTTCTCCCGCGGCCTGGTCCCCACTCTCACCACTCTCACCACTCTCACCACTCTCACCACTCTCACCACTCTCACCACTCTCACCACTCTCACCACTGGCTTTTGTCTCGGGATGATGCAGAGCAGGAGGCGGGATGGAGGTAGGGGAAGTTAAGGAGAGTGCGCCCTCTGGTGGTGGGGGAGCTTCGATGCTACAGTAAGCCCCAGAAGCCATCTGGGGGTGCACTGACACCTGAATGGCAATTTGCTGTGGGTGATCCTGTACAGAGGAGTTGTCGGAGTCGGCTGCGGGGGACTCACTGCGCTCCCTCTGCCGCCCTCGCTCTCTCTCTCTCTCCCTCTCCTGCAGGATGGTGAAGACGTCCCTGGGCGTGATGGAGGCCACTCTCCCCGCCGCCTCGCGCCAACCTTCGGGAACCTGCCTGACAAAGGTGTGCCTCATCTCCTCCACGCCCACCACCTCCAGGATCTCCTCCATGAAGGTGCGGCAGTTCATAATCAGTGGCGGCAGAGGGATGCTGCGGGCCAGCTCCTCAATGTACCGTGCAAACTCCATGGTCTTGAACTGCGTCACCTTGGCGAGCTCCAGCGTCTTGGCCGAGGTGATGATGGGAATTCTCTTGGCGATCTCGAAGGCCTTCTGCAGCTTCTCTGCGCCCTCGGTGCGGAAGAACTCGTTGATGGCTTTTTCCGTCTTCTTGAGGTGGCTGCTCATCATGCAGAGGCGAGTGACATTCAGTATCATGATGATGGTGAATGTGACCAGACACACTACCATGTAGTACACCCCCATGTCTCCATTGGTGAAGACCACACGCAGCGTTACTGTGCAGTTAGAGCTGCCCAACATGTTGGTGGCCATGCACGTATATTTGCCTCGATCAGCAAACTGGATGCTGCTGATGTTGAGGACACCGTCGTCCAGCAAATAAAACTTCCCGCCTGCAGAGATGAAAACATAAAAAAAGAAATCAGCTAAATGAGTCACAAACTAAGAACCTACCTATGACATCAAGGGCACAGATGGGATTTTTTACCAATCCGAGTTGGAGATCCGTCTTCCGGGAGGGTACTCAGAGCTCAGAAATTACTTGAATGCACCACTAGTTGTAGCACGCAAACATGTAAGAAACTGAACAATACTCCACTGTTTAACGCCTTATGTAAGGACAGTGGGGGTGGATGGGAGGTGATGAGGCCCATTCTTGATGATATTGATCTATTTGCCCAAACTCTACATAGGACATGTGTGTGTGTGAGACTTGTAATGCAAAAAGAAGAAAAGAAAGTGAGAATCAAACAACACATTTGGTGGGAGCATCGTGAAGACGAAAAAACATCAACCAACAGCGTTATGGCCTACAATAAAAAAACAAAGTTCTACAACTGGATGTGCAGACCTTTGTTAGTGGTTGAAAACAACACGAGGTAATATACAGATGTTGTTCTGAGACCACTCTGCCGGTACTGTACAGTACAGTGTGTAAACATGTCAGAAGAATTAAAAATCCATGGGCGTTCCCACAGACCGCTGCAGTAATGATGTGTTCCTGCTGCCACTTGGCACTGATCTGTAAAAACCTGCTCATTTTGATTTAGTTTAGTTTCAGTGTAGTTTATTTCCATTTTCTTTGTGAGACTTGTTGTTCTTGTGTAGAAGTGACCTGCTGCTCTCCGTCAACATCAGCCACTGTCTAAATCACACGCCTGCACACTCTCAACCCTGGGGCGAGGACCTTCTAAACAACTCCTCCCCGCTTTCTGTGATGGCAAGTTTCAACACTTCTTCTCTCTCATTCTCTGGCTGTTTGTCTGAAGTGTTTCAGTGTCTGCTGATCAGATGAAATGTTGAACACAAAGTTGGCCTTCTTGGTCACTATTGAAACACTAGACAGGTATCTCATGTTGGGAGCTTGGTGGAGCCTTCATGGTGTACATGTTAATACAAATATCCTGCTTTGTTCAATCATTCTCAAAAGGTTTACTTTTGTTCCCTTATTGCTGTGATACATTAATTTCCCTAGTGTGAGATCAATAAGGTGTGATCTAACATAAACTAAAATGTAACGATTTTTGTAAAGATCAATAGTTTGAAAAATTGTCACTGGCAGCATGGAAAAATGACTTTTTGTTTTCAGCAAAGAGAAGCAGCTACAAGAACCTTAAATAGTGATTGTTGTTATTGTACTATAGTAGTACTGTACGCTTACAAGTCATTATTTCATGAAAAGCATATATGTATATGGACAACAGCACAGCAGGTGTCGAGTGTCAGCAGAGTCGGTCTCACCATCGGTCTCCGTATCCAGGCGTTTTCCATGGGAGTTGAACCACTGAATACTGGGGAACGGATCTCCGGTGACATTACAGTCAATCAGCACGCAGCTCCCTTCACGGGCGATGAGCTGGCTCACTGCAGTGAAGGCTGCTGGGACCAACCCTGCGTCCGTTGTGATGTTCTTTGTAGTGTTTCCATATGTGTCCTCTGATAAAGCTTGGCTGAGGTCACAGGTCAAACAAGACAGAAGGAAGACTGAAACGTATCCACCAGTCCAGTGCATTTTCTCAGAGTGTGGGTGAAGACGAGGTCATTCCTCACAGGTCTTCATCCTAACAACTGGCGATCTCCTGGAAGACAATCTGCTCTGTAGCTTCAAAATGTTCACTGAAATGAAAAAATGATTTTCTTCAACCATATGAAGAAAAAAAAACACAAAAATGTTCACTGAAATGAAAAAATGATTGACAACCATATGAAGAAAACAAAACACAGGGAGCACAGATCCAGAAAATGGAACTGTTCAGAATTTAATACTCTACTGCACCCAAACCAACCAAACAAAAAGCCCTTTGGTGACACTGGAGTGTAAGGTAACACTGTGTAAATTATTTATTAACTACTGGACCAGAAAAAAAGAAATGACGTAAAGAACAAAGCAATGTTTTTAGTGTGTTAAAATGTCGGTGGAGAATTAAGACAGAACAAAAAGTTTACTCTAACCAAAAACATGATATCAAATTCACAGATGTCCCTAATTATATTTAGTGTGAATGACTTGTGGCGAACATGTATGACTGACCAGAAGTATCATGTTTACGTCTTAGCCATGTTCACGTTGTTTCCTTAAGAGCTACTGAGAAACAACGAACCATTGTAACGTAAGATAAAACGGCCAAGCAGTTTCTAAATATCGTGTTAAACGATTAACAACGATTAACAAATGTTTGTATTAAAATAAAAAAGAAGATCGTCAGAGATGTCTGTGTCCGAGTTTAATCACGAAAGCTTGCTCAGCTATGTACAGCAGAGCCCCACTGCTCTGAGGAGCTGTAGAACACCATCAGAATTACATTATTACCACTGGTTTAATCGAAGATGAAGCTAAGCTAGTCTTGCTAACATCCTTTTAAACTGAATTTGAGATGCACTACTGCCCCCTACCGAACTAGCTTTTTACAGAGAAAAATATGATTCAATTGTTTTAAACATAAGAAATGTATATATTAGTATGCACGAGTAGCATACATTATAATTTAAATAATTGACCAAATATGAAGTAAAACAAGAGTGAGTCGAGATAGAAATACAGACAATGAGTGTTTTAGCGATGTGGAAAGGTCCAAAACATAGTAAAATATTGGTCATACTACGGAAATACAGAAAAATAACTACTATTTTAAGTTTTTTTAACCAGTCTTAATCTCCAGTACACGAAATAATAGAATAAGTAAAGGACCTACAAACAAGACGACCCGATATAACGGAGTTTTACAGGGGCTCCGTGTATTTGCTGTCGAGATCATTACTGCAAAAATGTGCTGTAATCCAACACGACCATGCGAGTCGGATAGAATATACAGTATGTAAACTCAAAACCACAAAGGTTTGAATCGTTGTAAATACTTGTGAGTTTTAACGAGCAAACAGTGTGAAGTGTGTACGGTATCCGACACAGTACAAATAAATGTATTGGAGACGTCTATGTGCTGGACATACTGCAATTTCGTCGGCCTATCACGTGATTTAACCAGAGGAAAAATATTTCCACCACCAAAACGGCAGAAATGTGTCTATTGCTTCGCGGTTATATTAAAAACAACATTTTAATCAGTGACGCGCAGCATTTCCGCTGAAGACGACAAATAGACAGTGTTGTCTGTGTTTCAGTGCCCACTCGGCGTAAGTGTTAGCGGCTAAAGAAAAAAAACATAAAAACAAAAAAACAAGTAGTTCCCTTTAAATTCAAAACGGTGTTTTTTACTCACAACAAGGTCATTGTTTGTGGAAATACTGGCGATCCTATATGAGGGTCCAGAGGCCGATTTTAGTCTTGTATTTCCCCCTGTAATCCGTCCATCCTCCACACTTCACTGCTATGACTCGGAAGGGACTGTCGCCCAGTTGCTCTATTTGCATCAACCAGGTCGTGCGTCAAAAACATCATTGAACGTCATTGAAAAGACCGAAAATACTACACTACTTCAGAAACTTAAAAATCCTCGTTAGGGATCATCTTCAAGTTCCAGAGCTATGTGGAGGTATTGTTTACCTAAATCGGTTTTGTCAAGACTACATAAAATGAATGCTGACTGCTTTATTACAGAAGACAACAAATGTTACGATGGCTGCAGCAACCCACCGTGAGAACGTTACGTTGGCTATTACGTCACCTGACATCACGAAACAAGTAAAATCAGGTACATTGTTTTTTATTATTTTAAAACATCTCAGTGGTTTAAACAGGGCCTTAGGGCATAGACAGACACTCCAGAGGCAGACATGTGGACGAAACACTGACAAAGTATACTTTGCAAAACATAAAATGAATTCACAAAACATCATAACTGTCAGTCTCTTCAGGTAAGTAGAAACAATTAAAACGACGTAGTTGATCATGAACATCACCATTGTTACAACATTATTTTATAGGAAGATACATCCAGCACGTCTTAAAACCAGAGGGTTGTGGGAATGATTCTTGTAGTTGATTTTTTGCCAAATTTATATGTTGTGGTACTAAAGTTCTGTTTCTACTTGATTTGATATATTGACTGAATTTAAATTATGAGGCATCAAAACCTCATATGTTCAACAAAAGATTTTCTGCACTGAATACTGTTCTAATCATCTGTAATCTCTAACATTAGTGGACCTGAAGGTTCCATATGCCTTTAATCCCTCAGAGATCACATGAACCTTTCAAAGTCAGTAGGAACAGAGGTTCAGACAACAGAACCACTCTGATGTTTTCAGCATGTAGTCTACATCATTCAGGTTCAACAACAAAGTGGTGAAAACAGACCTGAGGTCAGTCTGGGACTCCTGCAGGTCTAAGCGAGGAGACGTGCTGTCTTGATAAGGAATTTAAGCACTTTCCAGGACTTGAAACACAAACAAAAGTTTGAAATCATCTAACAGATGAGTCACTTGAGATTAATCTTAGACTTAAGTTATTTTATTCATCTGTTTCAAAGACAAATCATTCAGTCTTCCCCATTTTTTAAAAAGCATTCCCAGCCTTAAATAAGATAAATAAAATACAATGAAAAATTAAATAAAACTAAATAAAGTTTAAGCACCTATACAAACCCTTGTAACTCAGTAAGCATATAATTTCACTTTACTCTTGTTCATAAAAATGTTACTTGTGTGTAGAGACAAATAAACAATAACTCATTGGGCAGCCAAAGAAGTGGCCAGTAGTAAAAAAAAAAAAAAAAATACAGTACCACAGACTATTGATCACTGAGCTTCTTTGATGAGTAAAGACAGTCGTCTGAAAGCCTGCGGAAAAGTCATCAAATTAAACAGGTGTAGTTTGTGATTCAGACAGTAATTGTTTTTGTTGTGTGTGTGTGTGTGTGTGTGTGTGTGTGTGAGGGGGGTGTATACCTCATCAATCTTCTCTGGTGAGGACAGAGAAAAGGCAGCTCTGACATATGCACATGGGTCATCACTGTTGATCATGAAGCTGCCTCCAGGAACCAGCAGAACCTTCAGAACACAAACACTACAGTCAGAGCTTTTCACCTAGTTACAGCAGCTGAACTTTGAGGCCTAAATAACCTTTGGTCTGTTACAGATGTTTTGCTTTACATCCAGAGACTGATTTATATTATTGATGTACAATGACTAGAGTGAAATACATTCTAAAAAATAAGTCTGACCTCTTTTTCCAGCGCCTTCTCCATGATCAGCCCCTTGGTGTCAGCGATGTGCTTCAGTTTGATCCACAAGAACATACCTGCAGACGGGGCATGCCACTCTGCCACATCTAAACGGACAGACATGAACGAATGAGGGGATATAGATGAGGCATCATCCCATGGAAACCTAAGTTCTTACTGATGCCATCTATGGGTGGGACAACTTTACAGCTCACCACCTCAGTACCATTTAAGCATCAATTCAGCTGGGCCACACAACTACAACATTTGACCAAAATAGAAATAAATTGAAAACATTTATATTCAGGTCAACACAGACTGAACTTTGAACGGAACAGTTGCCAAAACATGCAAAAAATTTTAATCTATAACCGTACATTTCTGCTCTGAGGGTAATGTGTTGTTGTATAACACCTGTAGACACAAAGGATTAAGTGTGGGTGGCATGTAGCTAGGCTACAGAGTGAGTAAGAGTGTTGCATTGTCTGTTTCACTGGTCTGTTCCACTGTAAGAATTCCTGATTACTTACTGAGGTTCTTAGTTTTAAACAGTTTTGTTTAAATGACCACAAGCTGGGCCGGTCTGAGGCTGTGTCTGGGCTGTGGGCCACCATTTGGATGGGTCGGCTCCAGAGTTTAAGATGTCACTAAATAGAACAGTAAAATCAATATGGCGATTGATAAAAACCGTATCCACCATTATAGAAAGACGGACACAGGGACAGACATTTGTGCAAAAGCTCAGTACAAAGGTCAAACATTTGGGGCTGAAGGGTGGCCTGTGACCTGTGACCTTTGACATTGGTGCCAGATTAACTCAACCAGAATAATTTTCACTTCTCTGACCATAAAACTCAGGTGTGACCTGATTTAAAGTCTACTTTCTTTACTGTGACAAACCTTTCAGCCATTTATCTGCAGATGTCAACATGGCATCTCGCTGGTTTCTGTAAAACTCGATGACCCTGCAAAAAGTTTACTGTGATCAAAATCTTTAATTTTAAAGGGGTCGTTTCTATGAGTGCAGGTCAAACGGGGGCGCTCCTTGTTCACCTACCCATCAATGTGCTGGAAGAAGCCCTCCTCACCCCAGCTGTGCAGGAGCTGAGACACAATGAGCTGAAAGAAAAAGAAAAGCTTATAGACCACGGGGTGAGTCAAGTGTTGATGCCTCACCCACACATGCAGGACAGAACTGGTTGTAACATGAAGTCCGTCTGTTAATGTTCAAACACTGGGTTGAGGCCTGATACATGGATCAACCTTCAGTCTCCTTTCAACAAACCCTCAGATTTAAGTAGGTAGGAGTACTGATAGGATTAGGAAGTATTTTTTTAATACCTGAGTGAAGGTACTGGTGTGCATGGTGGAGGCCTGGATGTGCAGCACCACCCTCTCCACCAGGGGTTTGGGACCAGTCATGAAGCCTATCCTCATACTGAACACACAGCACAGATCTGTTTGTTATTATTCGTTACCATGACAACAGCAGAGTACACATTACAGTTTTGACTTTCTCAGGCAATAGACCACAACCATTTCGTAGTTGTCAACCAGAGGGAAAAGGACAGACACGTTAGGGTTGGACATAACTTTGACTTCCACAATCTTGGAGACAGCAGACAATATTTCCTATTTATTTTCATGACTTAAATCTAGAAATGTCAGAACCAACATGGAGCCAAATGTTGCTCTGGTGAAAAAGGGAATGTGAACTCCTGTGAGTTCTGTTAGATTTTACAGCTTTGTCATATTCCGTTAGACTTAAGTCCAGTCTGAAGTCGATCAGGACAAAATATTTAACTACCCTCATTTCTTAGTCCTCAAAATTACTGTAATATTATAAAGGTATAAAAAGTTAAACTTATAAATACATACAATATGTCCATAACAATGAAAATGATGAAAATCAAGAAAGTTACTTTAATAAAAACAAAGAAAATATTTTCAAAAAACTTAGCTGAAGTAAAATTAATCCTTCAAATCAGTATAGTATTCTGGACACACACTGACCCTGAGGACAAGATCTTTGAGAATGAGTCCATCCTGATGACCCGTCCATCAGTGTCCATGGAGAGGAATGACGGAGTCCATGGCTGTGAAACAAAGAAGTAGTATGCATTGTCAATTTTCTTGGTTTGTCCTAGAACTACTAAAAACTCTGAAAGCAGGACAGCCAAATCTTCACCTTCCCAAACTGCAGGAAGTAATAGGGGTCGTCTTCAATGATGAGCAGGTCGTACTGTTGGGCCAACTGTCAATCACAACAACAATCATCAAAGATGTTAATGTTGTTGTTGTTTTTTAAGTAGAGTAAAAATCAGCTTTCTGTATTAAACTTGTGAAAAATATTCAGAGAAAAATTAAGCAGCAAATTTGTGGTTTTTAACTGCTGCGAGCTTATCCTTTTAAAAATATACTCAATTCAATTCCTGAGTACATCAGCATTCTGTTCAATTAAACAGGCCAAGGTTTCAGACAGAGTCAGTAAATTCTAAAAACGAAAATATATATTTAATTACATAAACATCTAACGCCAATGTTTTTGGTGCTGCACCATGGGATTTTTCCAGCTCCTCCCTGACCACACAGAACATCTTATTGGCAGGAAACCAACCTCGTACACGTCTCTCTTCCTCTCTCTCGTCATGGAGGCTCCAGTCGGGTTCCCTCCATTTGGAATCGTGTAGAGGACTTTCGGGACATCATTTCCAGGTTTATGGAGGTCTGATGGACGCCAGCGGGACAGTATGTCCTTCAGGGCCATGGGGATCAGGCCGTGTTGATCACTGGGGACATTGATCAGGTTACAGCCAAGAGGCTGAAGCTGCAGAGAAGAGAACAGCATTGTGTGACAGAAGATTTTTTTATACATACATACATACATACATACATACATACATATACATATATATATATACACATACATATACATATATAAGATAGAGTCTAATCATACATTTGTTATACTATAAAATCTATTCCAAACGTATTCCATCCTAAGATTTAAAATTACACTAAAATTTCACCACACTAAACTTAATGTATGTGAAACTTTAAAATAGCTAATATTATAAAGATTTTATGGAAGTTTTCACAAAACAAAAATTGAACACATTTAAATTAGTTATCAGCGCACTAAAAAAAGCAAAAGGTTTGGAACCACTGGTATAAATCCAAACAAAGAAAAAAACTCAAATTCAAATTCAAACTTAAATTCAAACTCCCAACAATGTCATAGTTACACATCTGGAGGACAGGCAGGACATGCAGCAGAACAACACTGAACATGTCTGACCGTCTGATGGTCTCACACTTAAAATCACTTAAAAAAAAATCTGACTCCTTCCTAAACAGCCCATTATTACAAGATTGACATTTTAGTGCAGACCTGTAACTCACGGAAGACTGGCCGTTATTTATAGCAGATGCTGAGTCAGAGTAAAACTTTAAAGAAAATCATAAATCACTGGTAGAGATCATCTACACTTACTGCTGCCAGTGTGCCAGCATATGTGGGCGTGTCCAGCAGGACGTTGTCTCCAGGGCTGATGAGCATCTCAAACACCTGAGACACATCCAAATAAGTTAAATGACAAAAAATAACTCAGTTTATCAAATCAAATACAGCAGAGAAGGAAACAGAGCTAATTGATTTTTGGAGGAAAAGGTTACTGGTGGGGTCAGATCTACATGCACCAACATCTGCGTCTGACAGAACCTCCACCATGACAGAACCAGGGGAGAATGTACAGAGCAGCGTCAGCACCTTAGAGAGCCCCTCCTGGCTGCCTGTGGTCACGCACATGTCCATCTGACCTTTCTCAGGGGGGGCGCTGGCGGTGGGTGGATTATGGAGGGTCATCTGTAGCTTCTTCATCCACGTCAGCAGCTCGGGGATCCTACAAATGAGAGGAGACAGGGAAGGACTCAGTCCTGCGCTCAGGGTTAGACTAATACTTGGTGTTTAATGAAAAATTAACCTAATAATGATCATTCAGCGCAGCTAAAATAACCAGACGTGAGTTTACAGAAGTAGCCATAAAGATAACACTGTCACTCTCACTGGTGATAAGTGTGCTGTAAAGCAACCGCTCGCCCACCATAACACACCATAAACTTAAAATGTAAATGTTTTAAATATACTAACGTCCTTTAACTTCAGAACATAAAGACAAATCAAAGTATTTCTTCAATTTGATCCAAACCTTTTTTTAGGTCAGTCATGTCTTTTGTTTGTTTAACTTTGTTTGACTGACATGACTCCCTTCCACAGAGCAGAAACCACACAGAAAAAAGTTGGGAAAAACTTTGATCCACAAACAAACATTCTCACATACAACTTTAATTTCTTTAAATAAACAATTTTGGTATATAAAACTCTGCACATAAACACAGACTATTGCTGTGAGGCCTCACCCACTAGAGGCAGAGTACTGCAGGGCCCTCTTCATCAGCGTCTCGTCAAAGGTCATCGCTGGTCCATTTCTCACTTTGATGACTGCGGACTCAAAGGGGAACATGTTGGGGTTCGGAGCGCCACCCGCCAATGAAATCATGGTTGGAGGAGAGCGCAGCTGCAGCTCAGCTTTGTTTAGGAAGAGATTAGAGTTAGAATGACATTAACCAAACAGTTTAAATAACTTATCTGAGCTAACCTAATAAAGCTAATCCTCTTCCCCAAAGATAAGCATTTTAAACATTCCCACAAATTACAAATTTTTAAACTGACAAAATACATAACATCAGCATCAAAAGAACAACCTTTTGACAGCAAAACAGGAAGACAGCTGAGAGTCAGCAGTGAAAGTCACATTCTTTCATCAGCAACAAAACATTTGACAGTTAACATTGTCAGGAAACTATAGACATTTGTCACCGATTATGAACTAGAGACAGCCAGAGTTAATGTCAAAACATCTTTCTGAACACGTCACACATGTGCAGACAAGCACACATTTAAAGTTATATTAACCAGTCATATTAGCAACAACACATTTTCCACACCACACAATCAAAACTGAACCAGGAAACCAGATAAATAGTAATTAAAAATAATACAACAATTACAATAAGAACATTACAAAAATGTCATTACTGTGAACAGTGCTGAGTGACAGGAAAATGAACAGTTGAGGTTTTATTTATTAAAATTATGATGAGGTTTGCTGTTCAACTCCACATTTAGACAAAAATGTTTTAACATACAGTACTTACTCAGGAGCCTGATAGGAGAGGGTTTTCTGGCTGCACTGACAGCCGTCAAGAACCGAGCATAATTCATGATTCCTGGACAGAAAAACATTTTCACATCAGTCTTTAATTGTTAGTTTGACATGAAAATTTCACATCCAGCCCGAACTCTTCAACCTTTGCACTAATATATTCACAAAGAAGAGATGCACTTAAAAATGTAAACCACATTGACAGTTTGGTCTGGAGTTTAAACTGATCTAAAGACTGGGATTTTGTAATTCAGAGATACAGTGTTAAGACACTTGTTTCACATTAGAGTTTATTTCATTTAAAGTTTAAATGAAAGAGATACGTTTTTAATACACCTGTATTCCAATTATGTCACCATCTACCATATCTAAGGAACGGTAGTTATATCATAGTTAAATCAAGTTGTTCTTTACACCAACAACAGCACATTTCCTACTTGTGACAATCTGGTTTCTTTTTGTAAAAACTTAAATAGATTAGTCAAAACAATTTATCATTTAAACAAGAAAAAACCTATTTATTAGTGTGTTTCATGACCAGCACTTATATCTAATATTAGTTTATTTCTCCTCGGTCATTCATTGATTAGAGTAAATAGAATAATATAATGTAATAAAATACAATAGTCTTTATTGTCATTGTACCAAGGGGGTACAACGAAATTGAGGGTGCACCAAGCACCTCTACAGGAGAACAAACAATATATACAAACAACCTCGTAATGTGCGCTGTAAAAGAACTGTAAAAAGATTGTACAAAAAATATACCAGGAAGCTGTGCATGTTGTGCAAAACAGAGTATATACTACAGAGTCTACACTAAAGTTTATCGGCTCCATTTAGGGTTTGACGAAAAACTTAATATTCTCTCTGTTTGACCACTAAATTAATGAAATGACAGTAGAAAGAGACCCAATCAATAATTTCTGCAAAATAAAACCGGGGCCCGTGTGTACGTTTAAAAATAAATAATGTCACTGCACCTGTTCGCTTTACGGCACCCTCCATAGTAGCAGCTCAAAGTAGTGTTAAAATAGTCACTTTACAAATTAAGTCATTTTTATCAATGGACTTACAGAGTCGTGTGTGACACCTTCGGCTCAACATGCAGCGTTTGGACCTCAGCTCTGTGGTCGACCTTGCATTTATTTCAGCTGCCTTTTCCTCTAGTTCAAATGTAAACGTTGCACGAACTAGTTTGGCTTCATACCGTCACCTTCTGAAACCAGAAAGCGGCCAGCTCTTTCCGCTTACCGCACAGATTGCTGGGTATTAGAGTTTGTTAACTTAACTTTTTAACTTGGAGTCAAGCGCTTTCATTCCCTTATATATCCCTATAACCGCTCTCTTCCTTACTGCAATACCTTTTATCTACATGCCATAATAATAATTCCGATATTTTACAAATATTCATAGTAGATTATTACTCCAAGTAACACATTTACTTAAAACAAAATCGAGTTTAGCACATGATAGCGCGACAAACCATAGAATTAGTGACCGCACTTGCGCAGAATAATCAAGGAAGTGAAACGTTGGCTGGTGGGCATTGTAGTTTCCTATACGAAATATACCGCACACTTCAAAAGGGATTAACTACATTACCCATGTTGCTAATGTAAAAAAAAAGAACAACTGTTTGTACTAGTTGTTTGTGGATTACTGGGTCGTTTTAGTCAAATTTAAATGAACAATAAACGTACTGGCTTAACAAATACCGCTGGTTTGTTCTCGCTTCTCACCAAATCGAAGTCAAAGTCCGACAAGAAGCGAAGACTACGAATGCCTTGTTGGATTAGCTGTGCCGTTGTCGAAAGCTAGTCGCCACATCCTCATGTCACATTTTGGGCCAAAACAGCACCAGGTTTACACTTTTGTTTTCCTAAAATCTCGAATCCTAACAAAGCGCTTCCTAGCGTTAGCTCAGTCGTTGTGTGCATGCTAATAAGAACAGAATACAAGGCTATGTTAATAAAGTTACGCAAAGTTAAAACAAGCGACTTTCCCTAATAATGGCTAATTTTAAAGAAATCCACACAGTTGTTTTATCGTCTGCACATTTAAACGGGCTTACACGTGGAGTTACATTACACGACGGAACAATATGAACGCACCAGTTGCCTTCATGTGTCATTAAGATCACTGTGATCAGCTGTGAATGATGCGTTTGTGTGTCTTTAAGGCTCGGATCTGGGTGCTGTGACGTAGAGCCGTGTCCTCCGTCTTCACTCTGTACTGTCGTTTAAATGGGGAAAAGAAAAGATATGATTCACCCCAGGTTTATAGGTAAGTTATTATTTCATTTCTACTGTGGTCAGTAATTTTGATATGACAGGCCTAGTTTTTCAATCTGCTGAGCAAACTGAAGACCTGGGGCAAAGTCACCAACAAACCAACAAATGTGGACTAGTCTGGGAGATGTACTGTCCGTCTTCCTCACTGCAGCCTGGTTTTCTTCACTTGTTCTTCTCCACAGGTGAAAGCAGCTCCAGTCTGCACAATGTTCACAAGCGCAAACACAAGAAACACAAGAAACACAAAAAGAAGCATCACAGTTTCACACAAGTCCCAGAGCCGGAGCCTGTGGTTGTTCCTCGGCCTCCACCGCAGCTGCGTCTCAAGATCAAACTGGGAGGACAGACACTGGGGACCAAGAGGTTGAAGCACTGATGTCAATAATGGTCTAATCAAAGCTTTTCACAGTTTGACAAATGTCCACATTTCTCTTCTGTTTTATTCAGTGTTCCCACCTTTACTGTGCACCCTGGAGTGGCCTGTCCTCCATCTCCTCTGACTATAATTAATAATGATGACGATGATGATGATGATGATGACGACGACGACGATGATATAGATGAACATTCTGTTCCTCTGGAGCAATATAGAGCCTGGCTGGGTGAGCTAAATGTAGTCTGTTTGATTTCTGTGAGAGTAGGAGTAATTTCACACAGCAGGAAAGTTGTCTTTTTTTCACTTCCTTGAGAAAGAAAAGTTTTAATCTCTTGCATCAGATGAAGACAGCAACCTGGGGACATCTCCTCTTCCAGACATGGACTCTGATTCCATGCTAGGGGCGCCTGTAGATGAGGAGGAGCGCTGGCTTGATGCTCTGGAGAAGGGAGAGCTTGATGACAACGGGGAGCTGAAGAAAGAGATCGATGAGTCTCTGCTCACAGCCAGACAGGTGAGAAGGATGCACAGATGTTTGCTTTTTGCTTTTTATTTTACCTTACATTATTGCTATTATTATTTTTTCTTCTTCCTGCACAGAAAGCCCTGTTACACAAGCAGCAGAGCCAGCCACTGCTGGAGCTCCCCATGGGCTACAAAGAGAAGGAGATGACCGCAGAGATGATGCAGAAACGGGAGGAACGAGCCAGAAAGAGACGTCTGCAGGCCGCCAAGAAGGCAGAGGAGAACAAGAACCAGACGATAGAGAGGCTGACGAAAACCAGCAAGGCCAAGATCAAGAGCTTGAAAGAGAAGAAGTCCAAGCAGAACCAGTGTCCTATGGTCCGCTACAGTGACTCAGCCCAGGGCGTGGCCATATCCTTCCCTGCCGGGGTCTCTGCTCCTGCCGTTGTTCCTCCACGTCCTCCACCTCCGGCCCCACTGAGCTGTGGCATTAGCGGTTGCACCAACCTTAAGAAATACTCCTGCTCAAAGACGGGCGTTCCTCTCTGCAGCCTGGAATGTTACCAGAGGAACCTGCTGCTGCTTCAGAGTGCAGCCTGAACAATGAGGAGATACAGATGTGCATTAGCATCATGATGGTCGTCGTCGTCACGATCATCATAAGACCCGTGTCACTGCTTATGCAGGTGAAGATGTTGTTTTTAAGAGGGACAGGTTGTGACAGGGTTAAGACAAAACCTGGAACGAGTTCTTCATCAGTGGTCTCTACATTAACATGATGAAATGATGAAAGACATTGTAGAAATAATTAGTTTTAAGACAAAAGGTCAAAGTGAAAAACGTTTTAGTTTTAATTAATGCTCACATTAATCAATTTTATATACAAACTGTACAGGCTTAAGTTAATAAACGTGGCTTTGTCCTGACACTTTCCTCCTGTGTTGTTCATCTGTTTTCACTGAATGAAACTTCAAGAGGTTTAACCCAAATAGTTTGAGGTACTGATGAACCCATGTTGTGGTGAGAACCTGAGGCTCCTCCTTGTATCTTCTGTGAGGCCTTGGTCACACACTGCTGTACAAACCAATTCCAAATAAATGTGTCAGTGGCATGTGTAAGTGCCAGAGGTTAAGTTTTTTTCCTGAGAAATACACATTTGATACTCCAGTAGTGAAGTCCAAAGAAAATCTGCAGCCCCGTCTCTAGTCACGGATCACAAGGCCAGACCGAAGGACAGTCTGAAGGCCATCTCTACAGGAACCTCAGCCACAGAGTCGTGAAAACATACGTAGAATTCCTGAGGGATAGGCTCCAACAACATCCTCCTGGAGAAAGAGAGAAGCAGATGAACATTCATTTGAATGCATTCTTTTAAAGCCACTGCAGGAATCCTCAGGTGTAGCTGTGATAGGTCATGTACTGAAGCTTTAAAGACTGAGGGTCACCTTCAGTCAAGACTCAGTACAAAATCAGGTTTTGACTTAAAATGTCATAAAAGTACAAAAATGTAAATCTATGTTTTTACAATGACTGTTTGATAACCTGGTTAAATTTGGGCCCTTTCTAGGGATATTCCAGGTGAGTCCAAACTTTTCCAGGACCTTATTTCTGTGGTAAACTATTCTACAGACACCAGCCTAAAGGTCAGACTCCAGACATTTCTGCTGCCACAGTCCCCACCACTGACATACCCTATGACCCAGTAGGTCATGGTTGGAGCTGGTTTCCTCTGGTCTGTCCAGTTCTCTGGTTTGCACTGAAACAAGACCCCGTGTTCCTTCACGGGCCCCAGGCCCCAGCCTCCGCCCTGAGGTCTCTCTGCTGCTCGACGGCTCTGCAGGTAAACAGAGAAAGTACCGGGTCCTTTAGAATCAGATTGCTAAAATAATGTTGTTATAGTGTTTAACATTTAAAAATCTATTTCAGCTCACTTTACTGCATGTACTGTATAAAAGTATGTATTATAATCTTAATGCTGCACATGTGGTGGTATTTCTACTAAAAAATAAAATCATTTTTTTGTTTTAGAATACTAAGGAGGACTTCACATGGTACCGTTTGCATTGGGTTTTCTCGATCTCTAGGCAATTACTCCACAGGAGGCGCTGTGGCTTAGTTGGTTAAAGCGCCTGTCTAGTAAACAGGAGATCCTGGGTTCAAATCCCAGCAGTGCCTTTGAAAGTTAACTACTTTTCACTGTGACACTGCACACAACCAAATGTGACCTCTGTTTTTAACCCATCACCA